CCCGCTTCGCCGTCGCTCAGTAAGTCGTGCGACGAGGCAAACAGCATGGAAGTGACGGGAGCAAGCGACCAAGGCGATGAGCGACGTTTCCTAGAAATCCAAAAGCCGAGCGATGCGACGAGCGACGCGACAAGCGACAGTGAGAAATATCCATCGCTCGTCGCTTCCTCTCCTCGCTGTCGCCGTCGCTCGTCTTGTCGCTCGCAAACTCGCTTATATCCGGTTCAGGAGAAACTATCACGCACTGATGGGCCTTGGATTTGTAAATATACGAAGGCTGTATATATGCGGATGGTGATAGAAAGAATAAGTCGCAGTAAGCCATACGTACGAGCCCACTGTAGTGTGCTGTCCGTCGGATATGGTACAAATTTCGGAGCGGCTTGGCTTACTATGCTCTGCTTGGCGCGCGGCTGCGCCTCTGGGATGCTGGGCCAGGGGGTTTCAACTAACGAGTTCTCGAGTTCTCGAGGCGAGCTCGTTCGATAAAGCTAGCTCAATAAACTTCTATCTGACTCTGAATGGGGAGGCAATATGTGTGAATCATTTTCTCTCAATGATTCTTGACCAAAGCAATATTTTCGTTCTACTGCGTCTGAAGGTGGACCAATGAACACCGCGACACGGCAGGTTTACGCACTCGCGTCACCGATGCGGAATACCTATTTAACACAGCACGTTTACGCACTCCCCTCGTCGAATGATTTCTACTATGGCCTCCCGATAAAGTCTAGGGGGTTTCACAGACCCTCTAGAATGACCCTGGAAGGAAAGAAAAACCTTTTAGAACAATCCTGAGGGAACGCGCACCTCAGAAAAATATATTAATGGGCCCCACGGACCTACTAGAAGAGCCTGGTGAACCGAATAGACATTTTAGGGTATCCTAAAGGGTCTCTCAAGCCCTCTCAGAAAATCATTGTAAACCTCACAGATATTCCTTTAAAAAAAAAAAAAGTTGGCAACGCTGACCCGCGACAAGAGGTAAAATGTTGTGTAGATTCTCCCTTAAAATCTTATTTAGCATGCAGTCGTCACAGTGAATGTTTGTCTATTGTGAGACATAAAATCTTGTGCAGGACTTCCGTCGCTGCGACTTGAGCCGCGTGCTGTAGGAACCAGTGCAGTGCAGTTGGAACCACTCCATTGAACCTTCACAGAATCAACTGGTTATGATCATTGCGTTAATGGGAGCATTGTACGGCGTTGGAACAAAATATGTGAAAATGATGAGGCGCTGGCACGTAGCCAGGATTTTGTTTGGGGCCGGGGGAGGGGGGGGGGGGGAGGGGGAGGGGGGGGGGATGCGCCCATGACAAAATGCTGTATGAAGGGGAGTGGGGAGAAGAGGCCCCAGCCAAATGGAAAATTTGGGGGGGGGGGGGGAGGGGGGGGGCCTTGCTACGTCCTGATAAGGCGGGAACTTTGAAGATATGTGACAAACAAGAAGAGTTGACCGACCCGTGTGATTAACTGATGACTTCCACAGACAACGAGTTGACGAGCCGAATACTGCCGGCTGCCATATCACTTTGGAAGAAATGGCGGCCGAGAGAGGCGATTCACGAAAGCGTGCATGTCGAAATATTGCTTTCCTCGGATATCTGAAGATATCTACAAGACGTGTAGCTCGTATGCTGACACCTGAAATAAAAAAAAACTAAAACAAAAAAAACTCGAAGACCATAAATTTAACAGAGCCTTTCGTTAAACTACGAACATGAATGTGAAGCTTTTGTTCACAACATGGTTACAGGAAACAAAACGTTGGCGCACCTTTATGAAACAGGGATGAAACGACAAAAAGTAATATCGCCATAAAGGCTTGTTCTAAACAGAAAAGGTCAAATCACTGATTTCAAATGAAAAAGTTATAACATCCGAATTTTTTAATGGATATTTATTCCCTAAAACGAAGGACACCAATCAACTCAGAACGTTAAAGCTTTAGACCACGAGTTCTAATACAACGATTAATATATATTCGTAGAAAAAGTGCGACGTTTTCTCGCTAGCCGGCATTGCTATAATAGTAACTAACAAGATGGGAACGGCAGATAGAAGGGTCTCGGTTGTCCCGCCTCCAATACGAGTTTTCCAGCTTTGACAGCGCTTCGGTGTCTCGTGCACCTCGAGCGATTGCGCGCAGGAAAGCGTACGGCGGATGTCCGAAAGACACGCCCTGCCTTTTTCACTCTGGCAGGGAAGCAGCACAGCATGCACTTGAGGGACTGAAATCGCTCGAAAGTTAGATTTGGCGCCCTGCGACTTCCACCGTTTCCCGATACTTAAGAAGACCTTCTTAACACCCTCTGTGCAGCAAAAAAAACAAAAAAATCGTCTACGTTAGGAGTTGGTTAAGGGAACAAAGAAGACACTTCTTCATTGATTGTTTTATGAATATTGCTTATCGTTTGCAGAAGAGTTTTAATTTAGACGTTGGGTATACGCAGATAGGAGTAGAGGCAGTTCGAAAAAGAACTCCTGATGATTACGTCTTCGCATTATTTATGTAACATTCCATTTAATAACAGGAAATGGTTATCAATGCATTCATTTTCGATTTGCCTATATATGACCCCTTTTGTTGACTGTAAGCTACAGTCAGTGACCTAACCATTTGTTTTGTTGAAGGCTGCGCACATCTTTCTTTTCTTAATATTTTCATGTGCATCTTAAAAGAGACAGCTTGATTGTTCCGAGACATCAACAATACAACTGAACAGAATCCCGCAGCTTTTCAGGAATATATAGAGTTGTTTAGCGCGCCACCTTTAGAATTCGCCAGAAAGGTGTGAATATTTAGAAAATATTTCTGTTAAATTCTTGGCGAACGTGTTGACACCAGTACCGCTGCACTTTCATGAGACAACAATCTTCAGGAAACAACTTTTAAATTTAATTATCTTATAAAACATTAGAGAAAAAGTACAGTTTGTGTGACAGGTATTGACAGTCACAGGTGCGAAACTGCGCTGAAGATACCTTTTTCTTGATTGAGCCTTTGTTACTCTGTCTACTGGGAACTGCGTAAAACGACGAGCATAGAAATATCGATCTACTCAAACTTTACTGTCTAGATGCATTTAGTAATTACCTTCACAAATTTCACTTGAAGCTTTGCTACAGTTATTTGACAAGGCCTGTGCTATGTTACTTGAAAGTGACTTTCCATGCTCAAAATAGGATTAGTTAATACATCAGCTATCACTGATTTCAAGAAAAAATGCATGCTGAAATAGTTTAAATATAATGGCCAGAAGAAGTTTGCATAAATAAAATTACATCTTTGACGAGCCAATCAAAATTAATTGGAGAAACAGCGATTCGCATTGCCCGATGAAATGTTTTGCTGACGTGATAATAACTAAGGTATGGACAACTTTGTAGCTATGTGGACAATCAAAGGCTACCATAACCCAGCGAATGTTTTACGGAGCTTCTTGCAGATGGCCCCATTAGTAAAATAGCAGTAGATTTACTTCCTTTTAGAGTGAAATGAAATTAAGCGGTTGCCCTCACCCTTTCTAGTGAGCGTTGATGCCTCCCATGTCAATGGCACCATCTCCCAGTGCTCAGGCCAACAACTCATCGACACTTTGCAATCGCGTGGGGCTTTGAGGCCGCGTTTCCTCTGTCTTGATTTATTTTACCTTCTAACCTTGTGAATTTTGCAGAGCCTACACTATTCGTTGAAATAATGAAATTTCAGTCTTTGAGTGATTCACGACGTTAGTCAAAACAGTGATTTTAAAAGGTTTAGTTTAAATACAAAGGCGAAGCGCGATAAATGCACAGGAGTGGTGCGCTCTAGTACAGGTGAAGTCTCAGTAAATAAAACCCATCTTTACCGGGTTGACACACCAACTGTATGTAAACAAAAGTGCACGTCTTAATTTTCGCCAGATATGCATATTTAAGAAAATAATAACGCGATGAGAATGATAACGAATTTAAAGAGTATGATAACGAGTGATGTTGATTTTCAGGGGTGCACCCCGATAAGCGTTTGATATCGTAGAGGTGAAAAATCTCAGTGAAGTGGACAGCGCTCATACTAGTACTCGATCAGTGTCATTTCTGAGAGGAAGGTTGCCAGACATCAAGTGGCTCGCAAATTTCGATGATAAGGTTATTTGCGAGATTATTTTTCTTTGTTATTATTTACTCGTTCTTGTACATTTTACTTAGACAGTACTTTTTTAGTCAGAACTCTTTAAATTTAAATTATTAGCATCTAATATGCTACTTTCTTAAGAAAATTCGACAAATATACTTACGACTGCTTACATGTAGGAATGCGAAAGTATTCCTGCACGGCAGCGCATTCCTACAAGCAGCGCACCACGTCTTTCTTTTTCACGTGGCTATCCGACGGTGACACCACGCTCCCCCACTGCGCAGGCGCGGTGAAAACCTCGCCGGCTTCACGGCGGCGTCCGTAACGAAGCATCTGCGTTGCTGTGTTTTTCTTTGCGTTTTATTTCTGAGGAGTGTCCGCTTTGCAGCAAATGGAAATTCATGTGCCGTTTCGCTCAGCCAATGGATATTTAGGTGATTTTGCTCTCAGCCAATGGGTATTTAGGTGCCGTTTTTCGCTGCTACAGATATCAGATAACGCCGGCTTCACTTCGCATTAAAAACTGAGGCGTGGTAGAGTTGGTACATGACGGGCAGTGTGTTGGAAAGTAGTCTCTTTTCTCTTTGTGTTTTTGTTATGAGCGAAACGTCTCTTTGATACTCTCCTGTTTTGGGCACGCACAATAAGTTCACAATCCCTTTCTTCTCTTAAAGACCCCCAGGGGAGTATTTCATAACGGGTGGGTACAACGAGAGAAAAATCATTATTGCCGCGGATGACAATCAAACGTTTGCAATGTCCATATGTTTCTTTTTCTTTCCTTTTAGTTAATATGATGGTTTCAATGAAACCCGGAGGCATGGATACATATATCAATCCGCTCCTCAGGAGTCAAAGCTATAAGTCACTGCGATCAAGCTTTAACATCAATCAAATTTTATTTTGTCTCGAGTAATTGAACAAGCTTAGCCCTTCAGCTCTACTGGAACACTGAAGCAGAAGAGCTCTCCTCCCTCATCCACAGCTTTAAAAATGGCCTTTACTTTTGTCTGAAAATTCAAATAGTAGAAAATAAGGTCAATTGGTATAGAGTGTTACGATGTCCTTATGGGCTGCTCACGCTAGAAGGGTATATAATAACATTACGAATTAGCGTACACGATTCCAGAGTTTCAATATTATGCAGTAATTCATACTACGATTACCTTTTTTAAATTGCTATTGTGCTATTTTCGTTACGGCCAGAGCATGCTGTATATAGTGGGTTTTATTTTAACAAGAATATATTTTAAAGGGGATAAGATTTAGACGAGCGCCGTCTTCGCCGTGTAATTATCATGCTCGACGGACTTTAGGTAAGTCGATAATGTTCATGTTAAGTTGACTTGTTCACTAAATTCTCTTAAGGAAATTTTTATTTACTGGTTTTGGGGGTCATGTTGCAATAACAGAATTGACGAAAAATATCATTAAAGGCCTGTCCTATTGAAAGATGCTGAAAATTTCATAGCTTTTTCTTAGATATTAATTGATGATTTTTTTACGTAAGACTGATTTAGACGTTACGCTCAGAAAGAGAGCCGAAAGCCCGACCCATAATTATGCTAGACGAGTGGCGTAGTTATTTCGTTTACGTCGTCACTTGCGTCGTCGGCGCACCCCCAAGATCAAACGCCCTTCCGACGTAGTGATTATTTGTTTTATTTATTCGACTACGTCACTCTTCCAAACGTCATTTTGGACAAGGCTTTCGGTGCTCTTTTTATGGGCTATTTTTAAATTGTGCTAAAAAGTGTAAACATTTAATAATTAATATCTCAAAAACTATTGCATGACCGAAAATTATTTTAATTGGTCTGGACTCTTATAGCGATTTCCGTTAATACTGCAATTGCAACATAACCCCAAAAACCCGTATTTAATAAGTTACTTGACGAAATTCATTTAATAACTCACATGCCATGACGATTATCCCCTCATATCGCATTCGCCGATCGACATAAATACATGATAAGGGTGGCACATATCCAGCTGTCACAACCTTTTTTAAAGTAATCTGTTTGAAGCCAATCACCCTGTATACTTCATTGACTGTTACTGTCACATGTAAACACTAAAATTAGAAAGGGGTCACATTTTATATATTGTATCAAGCCTAATTAAGCTATTTCCATATGAATTCAAGTATATTGAACGCATAAATATATTTGTGCATCACTTAATGGCATCAATATTTTAGAGCCTAACCCTATTGTGGAAGACAACCCGTTAGCTTTTGTAGTCAGTGCCACAAACGTCTGTTGCAACGGACGGAGTTTTCGTTTTTTCTGGACCCTCAATACACCCAAAATCATCCCAGAATGTACAATTAGGTTAGAGGGCAAACCAATATACGCTCGACATCTAACTCTCCCTAGCCGTTTTGAGAAATTATACATGTTGCAGGAGCCCATCGTGGAGTTATCACCCTAAAGGTCAATGACCAGCACGTTCTATTTTTATGGGACCAACAATGGGCATAACAATACTGCAGTCGTTAGGGTGCTCTTGGACTAGTCCCCAGGGCAAAGCTACTTGCAAACTTGGCATATATTAAAAAAAACGTCGAAATAAAAAAATGTGTCCAAACACGTACGGGTGGAAATGTGGGAGACATCGTGAGCTGAGACTTTGCAGTGTACTGCTTTCCGGCCACAAGTGGGCACTCAACACCCATTTGGCTGCACGCGTCGCTCTTGAAGCCAGGGAAATTCTCCGGCTTCAGTGATCCAATCTGACCTTGAACCTTGAGGCGCATCACATTGGAGTTCCTTTCTACAAAACGAGGGAAAATATGAAAATTAACTCCCTCGTGTTCACCTGCTGCGACCACGAAGGCTTTCATATCACAGTTACTGCTTCGAATTATCTTGGGACAGCAATTGTTAGATGGGAGTAAATTTGACCGTACTTTTTTTGTCTATGCCGAATTTCAGGCTGTCAGGAGGCCGGTAACTGCGAAATAATACTGGCTAACGACACAGTGGTGCAATATACTTTAAAAACACACGTCTTATTTATTTAGCTAAACTTCTAAATTTTTCGCCGACGTCTTAACAACATTTTTTTTTTTTCAAATATGAAGCACGAGTGTTTAAAATAATGATCTCGCATAGGGTTCTAAACAGGGTAACAGAATTGGTCCGTCACCAGACTGCACCTCTTTGACATCTGGTTATTAATTTTACAATGTGCACCCCCTTCAAGCATAAACGTATTTTTTTATATAAGCATTGCTACTCAGTTTTATTGTATTAGTGCGAACATAATCGTGTGCATTGGGAGCTGGTACCGACCGACCCTCGATCATTATATGGCTCTATATTTCTTAGGAAATTCGCGCTAATACTGCAATTAATGCAAAGATGCAAGCGAGCTGGACAAGAATGCGATAATCCCATTGCGCCATTCTTTCGCCAGTTTACCAACTGCGCTTCCAGTGAAGCGCAGTTTGTAGAGCGCTTCACTGGAAAATGGAGAGATCCCTAGTTTGACACCGGGAGCAGGCTGACTTTTTCGGCCGCGTACCAGTTACCTAGCTGAGTTTGGAGATCTGAGTTTGTCCTTTGTCCTCCTTGTTCGCCTTCTTCAGGCATGATTATCTCCATATTTGCGCTAGCTATCGTGATACTTTGCACAGTTGGCCCACGAAGTATATATTCCTGTTGTGTTTTTTTTTCGTGCGACATATGACGATATTTTCTGATTCCTGGGCTCACAGTTTTCATGTATCGCAAATAAAAATCGCTCCATTACCTGTCTTAGACACCCTCATTGGCTACGTTGTAATAAAAAAGCTTATTTCGTCAGCGTATACATTTTCAAGCGTTTTTTTCACCTAGGCGAAAACAGCGATTATTTGAATGGGCTACCACTTACCAATGAGTGTGAAATTCTGAGTGGCACATTGCTCCGTAACATCACACCAGAAATTATGTTTGACTGTAAATGTTACCAACACTACCGAAACGCAAAAAAAGAAATCCTTTTCTTAATCTAGCGCGTCAGTCCACGAATGTTTTCATTTCTTATCCTGCTTGTGAGCCAGCAAATAGCGATATCTCTACGATCACAAACTCTGGTGCAGAAAATAGTTTATCTTCGAGGTGAGACCCATCCTGTGAGCAATATGGTTTCCTTGGGAAATGTGGCACCATTTTTTGCTTAAACTGCAGAAAAAGTAAAGAAAGTAAAGAAAGTAAGTAAAAAAAAGTAAAGAAAGTAAGAAGTAATGTGTTTAGAAACTAAATGCCTACGCTGTTTTTCCTTGTGAATTATCAGTTTCTCCTGAGTTTGTCCGGGCACTAGCAGTTGAAGGTGAACGCCTTGCACTGTCTTCTTCCTAATTTTACAAAAAAATACGTGACAAATTCAGACACTTCATTGTTCAATAGAACGATATCCCTCTTATCTTAGTGTACATGAATATTTCCCTCTTAAAAGTTACGGAAGGCGTGTACACGGTTATCAGCAGTCTAATAAATACCGAGACTAAAACATGTCTAAATCGCTGCTACAATAGTAAGTTGACGTAGTACTGGAGATAAAGCTGAAATAATAGCAGTATTCAACAATAAATAAATTTTACAAGGTAGAAATGACTGTAGACGAGGTTTCGTTAGTGTCTTGGAGTGTTTAGCTGTGCAGTAAATTTTCTCACCTGCGACGAAGTCAACTTCAAAGCGAGGCTTGTCTGCCAGTTTAACAACGCATGGAAGAGACCCGCAGTGAGTCATGCGGACCTCCTTCACGTTGTTCGTCGATCCATCTGTAAACAATCAGGCACAAAATTAGACTAGCTTTAAAAGAAATATCCTTAAAACCAACATACGACCAAAGAATATCAAGAAGTTTAGAGTATACTTATCAGCGGCTAACAGCTTAAAAAATTTATCGAAGGCAAAATGCAAAAAAAAAATGAATAAATAATTATGGAGTTTCAAATATTGCTGCGCCTTTTCACAACACAGCGTATTTCTGTTCTTTATTTTGTCGCGTAGCAAATAAATAGAAAATATTCTATATATTTATACTCCAATTAATGCCAATCTTATGCGACTCAATATTTTTAATTGTATAAGACATTTTTTAATGTTTTATTTGTTTAACGAACAATACAAAACAGGCCATATCTTCCTCCGATTGAATATCTTCACAGGAAGGGGGATATTACCTGTGTAAAATAATTATACTAGTCTGAAATTGCAGCACCTGCACGACAAATTTAGCTCTTGTTTAGGTGTGTGCTTTCGTTTTCGTTGTCTTTTTTCGTATGAAATATGCATATGCCCTCTGCTATCATAGTCTTATAAGGGACTGATAATTAAAATAAATAAAATAAAACAGTAAATATTATACTGAGGATTAAACAAACAGAAAAGCGACTAGTCAAATAAAACGTAATTAGTTAACACACGCTCTGACGTTCATTTCAGATGGCTTTATTTCGTGATTTTGTTGTTTCATTCAAATATACGCCAGGTTACATTGTCAGGTAATCTTTTTCTTTCCAAACTCCAAGAAAAGAATAGCAGCACGTACCCTTGCAAGGATCCACCTTGATGACTGAAAGTGCGTCCTCCGCACTTGCAGCCAGCACGATAGCGAAGACACACAGTGCTGAGAGTACCATAGAACTCGCCATAATGAGTATTCAGATGATACTCGTTGAGTAATGTAGAAAGAAAAATACAGCTGCTTAAATATCAAACGTCTGCATAGGCCAGCATCTGTACCCTGAATGTGAGTAACGATACCGTAGCCGTAACCTGCATTTTTTTCGTCTGGTCGAAATATTATCGTCTGATATTCTTATCGATTATTTGTCCTGTGCTTCACTATTACCTACCCGCGGCTATTGTCTCTAAGACAATGACAGCATATAAAAAGACGTGAACAATAGGAACCTTATTGTTCCAACCAGATAACAAGCCACAAAAACGCCTAAGTTAGCACAAGGCTGGCAATCCTTGAGGCCTATTGCGGGCCTAATCCGGTTTCGCTCTAGTTCGTTGGTTACTGGAAAATTTTTGTTTTGCGTTTCTATGGCTTTTCTCTGACTCTCCACGTAATCGCCAAACTGCAAGACTTGAGCCAAAGATGCCATGTGCGAGGCAAAGAACCAGTAGTAAAACCTAAATCTGGCACTCCCTTTGTTATTTGGGGCCAAAAATTGACAAATTTGAATAGAACAGGCAGAAGTAAATCCTAACGCTGAGATTTGTCTGACGATTTAGGCCCAAATAAGGCCAAATAGCAGCCACTCTTCCACTGATAACGTTGAGCCTTGCCACTCGTTTGGCGGATTAGGGCAAAGACACCCGAACTCTGGCCAAAGAAGGTCAAGTATGGCACGACCTTGGTTTGTTCGGGCATTTAATTGCTCTAGATCACCAGACACAAAAACAAAAATTGGACCAAAGAACTGTGCTACTTGGTCATACTCCTAGAGGCTTTCATCGGAATACAAAAGCACGCTGCGTTCGCTCTGCTGTGTGTATTCTATCTTATCTAGGGATGCCGCGAACTTTTTTCGAATCGAAGTTTCGATGATCAAATCAAGCGGTTCGAAAGGTTTGAAAGATTTCGAATTTTCGAACATTCCATGTTGAGAAATTCAACGGAAGTCGAATTTTGGAAGTTATTACACTAGGAAGTTCGACACTTTTCGAATTTTCGAACTTATTACGCTGCAAAATTCGATGCTTGTCGAACTTTCGAACTTGATAAACTAAAAAATTTGATAATTTTCGAACTTTCGAACTTATTGCACTAAAAAGTTCGAAGCTTTTCGAACTCGCGACCTTCCTACGCTAAGAAATTCGATAATTCTTGAACTTTCAAACTTATTAATCTAAAGAATTCGAAAATTGTCGAACTTTCGATTCCTGAAAAGTCAAAAGTTCGACGAACTTCGAACTTTTAGGGTAACAGTTCGAAGCTCGTCGAACTTTGAAAGACCGGCGGGCTGTTTCATTTGGATTCAAGCAGTGAGGTGCATTCGTAATTTTTTTTTCGCAATTTTACATGGGGTGACGCGTTCCTTGCGAAAGACAATGCCGTTTATTTCAATCATCTGGCATGCTTGGTTTTAGAAAAAAAGATTCCCGAAGGAACGAGGAAGGACGACGGGTTTTTGACAATTGTCATTTGTGCCATATTTGAAGCGCGCTATTGCCGAAGCTAGGGTGCCTTCACGTGCGCTTTGCTTGGGGTGATGACATCTGGCCATTTTGTTTCGAAAGCTTATTTTTATTTTTTGTTCTGAAGCGCGTGAAAGAGCGTGTTTCTGCACGTGCTCGTGGCGCTGACTGTGCTACGGCGACATTTAGTTTCCTCGATCTCTTTGTATTTTGCCTGTGAGCGCGTGCTGTCGGCATCGGGTACTACAAACGATGGCATCACCCTAAACAGAAGGACATTGAGGCACCCTAGCCGAAGCTATTTATGGTAGAGATGTTAAACTTTTTAAGAATGATCTATATATAGCTTAGGTGAGTATCGTCTTACGATATGATTCTTGTTGTTCAAGACGAGTTTCAAATAAATATCCAAACATGTACCTACGGACAATTATGTCCTAAACTTGGTAATTTTTTTCGCCTACATTGTTTTGGTATCGCATTTAAATTAACACCAGAGACAGTACATATCATTACCATCTGCAGAATACAAAATAATATATTTATTGTTTTTTTCACGCTGAGGAATAAATTAACTCATGGGGGAAGATCTCTAAAATTAACAAAGTTCAGCACGTCATAAAAAAAAACAATTTTTTCTCATTTTACGTTTTTGGGACGTGTTTCTTTTGGCCTGTACACATTTTTGTAGGAGAAACTTGTTTCATAGTTCTTGGCCTCTTAATATGTAAGAATACAACACTTCCGGCGGGTTCTTGATAGCTTTTTTTTTTCTCTCCAGCTTTTTATTTTTGCATTTCTTGTTATGTTTATTTATTGATTATTTTTTACCAATGGCACAGTTATTTAGGTCGAAAAGACATCGCTTTGAACTTTCGAGCCACCGAGCATGTGACGAGTAGTGCCTCCTGAAAACGAGTTTCTAAAGGCCTGTTCACACATGCAGCGGAGCGCAACAAGCATATCGTTGACCTCGTGCTAAGCACGTGCCGACGGGAGCGTTCACCAGCTTTGTATCGCACCGTCAAAACTGTTGCTCATGGCATATGATACGTACCCCACGGCACGTGAGCAGCGTTACATCAGCGCTTCGCTGCATGTGAGAACCGGCCCCATCTAAGCGATCTTTTATGCAGTGAAGAGCCACAGTAGCTATACATATGCATTAATTTCAGATTAAAATAAGCTGGACCATGCCCTCTTTCCCCGTATTGTTTTCTTTAACAGTCCGAAATATCTGGGAGGGGGGGAGAGACTGGAGCTCCCCCCTTCCCCCCCCCCCCTCCCCCCCCCCCCCCCCCCCCGTTTTTCCTCTTCCGACACCACTGGTATAATAAAACGCTCCTCGACCTCAAGTTGAGTCAGCTTCTGTGCTTTTTGCTCGGCGTTTCTTCCGCCCCAGAAAATACACCTTCAAAGCAATGACAAAAAAAAATGGTCAAGGTGCAGGCCGGGGGCTAGTCTATGTTGATCATGATGCAAAATCCCGAGACTGGAAATGAAATTCGCAAGAAATAGTGTAAGAAGAAGAAAAAAAGAAACAGGACAACGTCTCAAACTCAGCTGAGTTGAGTTTGAGACGTTGTCCTGAGCTGAGTTTTCAGCTGAGTTGAGTTTGAGACGTTGTCCTGTCCCCTTTTTTCTGTCTTCTTACACTTTTTCTTTGAAATTTCATTCCCAGTCTCAGGATTTTGCATCATGTACAAACTAAACTTACTATACACGTTTGCAAGTCCGGCTTCAGGGCGCTGCCATCTTGCTCGCGGGGGTGCGCTTGGACACGACCTAATCCGATTACGAAGCCTTGCTAAGGTGTTCAAAATCGGATTATGGCCGCTCCCAAGCGCACCACACTGAGAAAGATGGCGGCACCCTGAGACCGGACTTGCAAACGTGTATAGCCAGCGTCACTCGGGCGGCGTTCGATCGGATTACTACCAGCGTGCAAGGGGGTAGGGGGGCAGATTGCCAGATAACTTCAAGGTTTTTCTGAACCTCAACCGCCCGCCTGCCCCTGGCCGTTCCGAACTGGATGAGTATCGTTAAACAGTGCGTTCGTAGGATCACTACTTCGTAATGCACGTAAATGACCACCCCCGGCTGGCGGTCACAATTACTGCTCTATTGTTACACGTCACTGCACTGGCAAATATTCCAGCACATCCGGGGCACTCGTCGTCTCATTTAATTGTCTGACCAACTTCGCGCAGTCTAAATATCACACCCGAACTTTTCTAAACCTGATTTCGTGAAAACCAGTGAGGCGTGAATACGTTATTTGAAGCTGAAACTGTGGCGGAACATGAAAACCGGACTTCGAACTTTGCGCACTTGGACTTAAAAAAAAATCGGAAACCTTCGAAGTTTTTTTGTTTTTTTTCTTTGAATTTAGCATTAAAAGAGAATCGAAACCTTCGACCTTTTCGGACTCTATGTAGAAAGAAATTCGAAATCTTCGAATTTATCGACCTTCATGTCTTTAAAACTTCGAAACGTTCGATTTTTCAAATTTTAGATCCAAAGAAATTCGGAGCATTCGAATCTCTCGAATTTAATATTAAAAAATTTCGGAATCTTCAAACTTTATCGAACCTCAAGTAAACAAATATTCGAAATTATCGAACCCGAACTTTCCGAAACCGTGAAAGCTTCGAACTTTTTGATTTCGAAACCCCACGATTTTGAAAAGTTGCGAATATTCGAATTCGAACCTCCCTACGGTCGAAAATATCGAAACTTTTCGAAATCGAACATCAGTTCGGTTCGAAAATATCGAATCCTTCCGAATTTGAACCTAGGGTGGTTCGCAGCATCCCTAATCTTATCGTTGTAAAATATGTTTTCTCGGTGTGTTAAAATGTCATTCGCTTTTATTGTCGGTCCCATAAACATTGCCTTTAGACATAGCAAGCTGAAATTATAATTTATGATAGAAGGAGGTCAATACAGCACTATTTAGACAATGAGACAAAGCTCGTGCACCAGCGTTCATTTATCAGAACGTGCTGACGATGAATATTCTGAAGTCTGGATTGCACATCTCAACTTCCTCGATGATTGTGACCTTCAAAAAGGGTGTGATTACTGCCTGTAGACCGCTTGCCGTTCTCAAATCAGGGAGTCATTATTGAATCACCATTTACACGGTTGCAACTGAAATTTATCATCTGTATTGCCCGAGCTGTTCCCCTGTAGCGCTAACCATTTTTCACCTAACTTGGTGCTATGCAATATCTTAGAGCCTAAACTCAGATGTTTCACATATAATTTACCTTCATTCACTCTTTCCCGTGTATACAATTTGGTGATTATTCACATATCAGTCACGCAGGCAAGTCCACGGGTCAAAACTGTCTGCCTCACCCCAAGCCAACTGCGGCAGTCAGGCTCCTCTTTGGGCCCTGAAAGAACAACTTTAAAAATTGCTTTATGACTGCAGAAGGCTGAGCTTTTACGGTAAATGGAACATTTAGTCAATGGGTAAGGGTCGTACTTCTTTGCAAAGTCAAATTCGATCAGCTGGTTTAAAGTCCAACTGATAAGGACAGTGTCGCGATCTTTGGCAGATGGCCGCAGAAGAGCGCGCGGCATTGCT